CATATGTGTTTATTTTAAGTAATATGAACAAATGTTTGAAGTAAATCTGCTGTCAAAACAAAGATCCTCCTTTTAAACAGAAAAAGGTATATTTAAATGATTTGAGCAGATAGATACAAATATATATAATATGATAGATATAAATCATCGTTTCACTTTGTATAAAAAGACGTTAACATTATTGTGTTGGGTAATTTTATTTAATTTTATTACAAAAGCACATAGTTGTCACAGAGTATTAAGCACACATTGAGGATGTTCTGGTTTACTGTTAAAGGATGTAAAACCAGATTAAACATGACTGGATGAGATGTGTTGTGTTTATATGAAGCATTTTACAGAACAGGAAAAGAGTTTGCTTTGGGTTGTTTTGCCAAAGATGAATGTAGCTGTATGGATACCGTATCTTACAGGAAACTGTAAGCACGGTGTAAACTGCATAACAGTACATTAATTATACATATATAATTTGGAAAGTGTAGAAATTGTTACAGAGTAAAAATTAGATGTGTAAATATAACGTGGGATATATTTGATATGAAAGTTTTTATGTTTGATTATTTTTATTAGTGTTTTGTTATTTTCTGCTTTATTTTTTCTTTGATATTTTTATTTGTTTGAAATAAATAAAGATATAATTTGTTCCAATATAGTTTTAGACAAACACTTTCTTAAACTTCTCAAAAAATGAAGGAGTACAGGCACATCATGAGCAGTTTGTGATCAAATAAATAAAAAGAAAAAATGTAATAGACGTGAATAGATTTATTTTTAATTTATTTAACAGATGAAAAATGTGGTTGTTTATTTGAGCAGCATTTTTTTTTGTTTTCTACATCAATCTCTAACATTATTTATTTTTCTAATTGCCTTTTTAGATGAACTAATTAGTTTAAAAGATATCTGAGGTTTCATAAATATTATTGTGTCTAATTTTGTTCAGAAACTAACATGTTTCATTTTTCTACCTGAGACATTTGATTGATTGATTTATTGTTAAAGACTTTTTGTTTGTTTTGTTTTCTGACCAGATGCATTTTTAATTATATTATTCCAATCAAAATTATAATTAATTAATTATAATTATGATTATAAGTGAAAAATCTGCTCATTTAAACAGAACTTCTACAATTTTGCATGACTCAAAACAATAGCAACAAAATATGTTAGGAAACTGAAATACACTGAAAGATCACATCCTGTTGTGTACCTACAGTTAGAGATATTCACATAAAAATGTAACACTTTATCAGAATAATGTTAAGCCGATGATGAACAGTGGACTGAATATATTTCTTATCTTTCGTGGGTTTGCTGAGAGGAATACACAGTTAATGTTAAATTTAAATTGTCAGTACTTTTGTGTATCAGACAATATTATATAAATATTTCATTTGAACAATGAAGTGATTTGACTATAATGAAATGAAGCTTTATCAACATCTTAACAGTGAAGTAAAAAGGTTGTGATCTTTCTATTCTGATTTAAAAACTGTGTCAAGTCTGATTTATAACTAAAAGTTTTCTGTATTGTTTCATAAATATTTCTCTTTTGCTCTAACAACAGTGTTTTTTTTGTTGGAATCTATGAAATCTTCACCATCAAATAATAAAAACCCTCATTTAATGTGAATAAAAACAAAGACTAAAACAGTAAGTCTGAGTTAAAGAATAACATCACTCAGTTATTCCTCAGATTTAAGCTTTGCTGAGCCCTGCCGTCTGATCATCATGTTCCTGTTGTTGTTTTTTAGAAATATACACTAAGCTGGTGGAGTCAAACAGTTTTCATGGGGAAGGTCAGATTGAGACCTCCGCTCACACAGAGGTGGCTCAGGTAACTTGTTGTCCCTACCTGGCATTTTTCTGTGGATCTCTCAGTGTTTATTTCTCCACTTACGCAGTCAGCAAATAGCATAACAACATGAAGACGAGCATCATCTCCTTTATTTATTCCTAAACTAGTTAAAAAATAAATAAATATTCTGAAATGAAAATTATGCATTCGTCAGTGCGTTTGCCAAAAAGAAACAAAAAGTCACTGAACATCTTCATCCTTACATCCTTTTTGTTTGGAAACTGTTTTGCTGGTCCTGCCGTCATGTAACTTACAACATGAGCTTAACCCCTGTTTTGTGAAAAAGAAAACCCTACATGTTAACATCTGGCATCTGTACACAATAATAAAATCTAAAAGGAAAATTTTACATCATGACTACAGTGAGAATGAGACACTCATCAACTTCTGTTGTTGCCATAGAAATGTGTAAACACGTCAGATTAGCGTCAGATACAGTGTTTCAGTATGATTTGTCTATGGAATGTCCCCAAATGGACAGCTGTGCAAATGTTTGTGTGTGTGTGTGTGTGTGGGGGGGGGGGGGGGGGGGG